TGTTTCACATTTAAATATTTTACTTGAAAAAACGTTAATGATAATCTAACAACCAAGCTCTATGATAAACGGGATGACTTTAACTTCTCTATCGTGAACTTCCCTTATTTATGTAGTAATATACCTTCATCACCTGTATACGGAGTTTATATATCTAAGTTGATTCGATAATAGTTTCTAAAATGTGATAAATGTGACAAACAGTTTTATGGAACAATAATTTCAACAGTCTCGTTAAAGTCATCATTTCGTAAGTTCTATGGTCGAAACAATGACCTTGCCAAAAATACAATTTATCATAGGGTCGAATGCTGATTGAAGTTTATCATACTAATTGTTAATCCATTAATTATACTCTGAACTGGCGACGGATTTTTTCCGTTATTTCCCGATCATGACAAGGAGCACACGGCAGGTGTGACCGGTCAGCTGGGGATGCTTACTCCTCCATGGCACCTGATCTCACCTCCGAAGTTTTGGAGGTCCGTGTTTCTTCTGCTCCTATTTTGTATTGTTTAATGAACTTTGTTCTTGAAAACTGTTCGTTTTTCTCTATATATTTCATGATCACTTCATAGTAACTTATAAATACATATTTTATTTATTATACAGTTGACATCACAATATGCCTGTGTAGGGTTCAATATTTCATTATTTAATATTTTTTCTATCGGTTCCAGATTTTTCCTTTAAAGGATTTTGCAAGAACCCCACTGCAAATTTAAATGGTATTTTTCAGCATCGATTTTTCTACTGGTCGACTGCTGGCATATATTATTTCAAACAGAAATCGTTTTAGATACACTGGCACTTTGATAAGCATATCAAATAATTTTCAGTACTTTTTAATAGGCTTCCAAGGATATTGCGAGAAGATTTGACACATTTTTTTGTATTTTGATTAAAAGTATTTAATCATACATATCATGTTCACGTTTCAGAAAAAAACAGTTATTTGTATACAACAATTGCACATTTTACATTCATTTTTTTAAAAAGCATTTAAAACTTAATAAAAATGAAAAAGAGAATTGTGTAACATGTTACCTTCAAATTGAATAAGCCCTACCAACAAAGACACTATCATCCAAACTATAAGACTGTGTAAATATTGGTGAGTTTTCATGTTGAAAGCTCATGCGTTACTTCAAAAAATTACAGCTTCCATTTTATCCCAGAAGTGATGAGGCGAAATTTAAAAATGGGGTAGTACTTGAAATGAATTTTTAAGAATTTGGGCTGTCAATGAATGTCACGTCACGCCCCTTTTCATTGTTATCGCAAATCTCGCCTGAAAGTATTACACTGCGGCTGAAATAGCGTTGCCTTGAGTGATGACACTATTGGATTTGACAATTGAACAATTTGAATCACGGATTGAATTCTATAAAACAAGCGCTTTAATTGGTTGATTAGGACCCGCCCACTCTCGTGCAGTATCCTTTGCCTTTGTAAGTTGGAAAACGTCCAACGGCCTTGTGATGGTCGAAAACCGATGGTGACTTTTTGAACAAAAAAAAAACAAAGACTAACTATGAAATCACTTTATAGCATGATATATTCCTATCGCAGACTGTACATGTATAATCGTTTGATGACAAACACTAATTTCATTTATTCTCCATGTAATTCTGATTTTCTATTCACGGCATTTTCAATTTTCGGAGGTACAAATTGAAAACGCGTACGTGCGTAGAAAGCATATCCAGCTAATACCGGAGCACCCGTTGAAAAAATATAAATTCATATGTGCTAAATCATCGGATTTAATTAAAAGTTTACTGTTTTGTTGTCACGAGTATGAAAAATTACATGTTTCAAATGTGTGTTTGCTACTGCATACCTATTTTAATTGTCGTCATGGCAATATTTTAACTTGCGATCTGAAAAAAAGAAATCCTTGTGTAGTGCACTTTTTACTGTAATGGCTAATATAATTTACATGTTCACTATAAAATAATAAATATCACTTATATATACACCAAAACTAAGTACGTTTAATTTTATTGATCATGTTGATGTACTGAAGAAAAAACGGAAAAAACGGCCATGTTTTTCAATCGCAAAAATATGCCCCTAATGACGTGTATCATTTTCAGGCCAGTCCTGGGACAGATATCATTTGAAGATCATTACAGGTTACCCACACTCACAATAATTTAATAACCTAAAGACCTTGCATAGGGGGTCCTCTGAATACCTCGCTCAGTAAACCGGGCCCACGACTTGTTTACAAGTTCTATCTTGGAAACATTCCATGAGAAAGTGGGCGGGCTTATAAAAAATCACCAATCAGATTCTTTGTTGCATTGTATAGTTTGAATACAGCCGAAATGAATTGTAAAACTGTTAAATCCAATTGTGTCGTCACCCAACGCAATGCTGATAAAGTCAAAGTGTATACTTTTGAGCGAGATTTGCGATAATTAAATTTTATTAATTTGACTTTTAAATAACTTTTTTTTCAAATTGTCTGTTAAAATATTAATAGGTAAGTATAGCATAATGAGATTTATATTGATATAAATATTTGCAGACATGAATTTATAAGCTTTTCTCGGTGATTTTAATATAATTTTCCAAATATTTTGTCCGTCAATTTTGCTAGATCCCTTTTGACGTTCGCTGAAAAAAGTTTTCGATCATTTTCAATTATCTATAAAAATATTCGTTTTTTAAGCTTTTACAATAAACCGACCAAAACGCTATAGAAATTTCAAAAGCCTTTGTAATTATTCAAAGAATAAAGTTTTTTCTAATGTGTTTCCATTGTTCAGCGTAATTGACACAGTGTGTTTCATATATTTTCTACAGTTTTTCTACAGATAAACAGATTAGTCAAGTAAAAATGATTTTATCCCGAAAAGCACACTAAAGGAAGCATTGGCGTTAAAGATTATTTTTTACATATTAAAATGGTTTGTGGTTTTAACCGATTTAAATTCAATTTTACTTAATTAAAATTGTTGAATTAAACATTCTTCGAATGCATTATACAGAGATTCAATAGAATATTAAAATGTTAAAATCTTATTAAGTTATGCAAATAACTTTGCATTTATAAGAAAACTTTTATGTTCAAAAGGGTATTACTGAGAGAAAAAAAAATTATAAGAAAAAAAGTATATTCAAACTGGATCAAACATAATACAATTCTTTAGATTTGTGGGGGCCAAGTTTCAAAGTCGCGGTCATTCAAGTATTTGTGGTAATTTAATAAACTAGAAAATAAAATGACTAAAATTTCCAAAGTGAACCACTGACACCATTATGTGTTGTATTTAGATAAGGACGATGATAAAGAATCATCAAAATTTTGTTATGAAACATGTTTTAAAAAACGGCGTACACATGGACTGAGGAAATCAGATGTCAGGAAATGGGAGAAAGTTCTACACTGACTTTTTAATTCACATTTGGGTTAATATTTGATTCTCGTGTACAGAGATAGTAAATTGTCTGTAGTTTATTCATATATCAAAATAGTATCGTAATGCACTCGGATATACTGAGTAGACACATCTCTGCAGTTGAACAAATATCAGGTGGGTGGTATTCAATTTCATAAAAAGATATTGTTTTTATCGTAAAAAGATCTTTCGATTTCTCTTTATCAACATGAAACGACTATACATATCTTTCTTAAGTTAGATTATATAGCTAAAATAATCTTCTTTATAAAGTGAATCTTTACCATCAGGTAATGTTCGATATTCCTAATTCTGGCAAATATTTTAAACATAGACAGTTAAAGAACTTGGGTAACGACAATTTTGCATGCGGGGGTTTGAAATATTTTAGCGAATTTGTCAAGGGTCAAACATTAACTTGCGTGTAGGGAAAAAAAATCCAAATACTGTAAGGTAATAAAAATTAGGTACAGAACTTAGTCAACAAATGCATATTTATATGCATCCATAATGAGGAGATTCAATCTACAAAGCTGAAATGAAATCCATCGTTTATGTTCATAAATCATGTGAAATGTACTATTACTTTTTTCATCTTATACAGGTGTTCAACAGTATTACACCTGCTTTGTCTTTTTTAAAATTCTATCATTTTTACTAAAAAAAAAAAATAACAATATATAGCTAGTGATCATATGAAAGCATTTGTGTCAACAGACATCACAATTTTTTTTCACAGCTCTCTAACCATTGTCTAACCATAGTTTTGCTGATTCATACATCAATATTTTCTTATGATAAAAGAAAACAACCCCCACCATGGACCAATCAAACAAGAAAAATGGTTTTCCGAATGTATATGATATGAATTTTGAATGTCAATAAAAGCATCGTAGGTTCTCTCAGAAAATACAGAAAACAAATTAACAGCTATAATTACCATTTGTGCTTTTTTTCCGTCGGGAACAAACTTTCAATGAATCACCAGAACAATGAGGTCATGAGGATAGAAATATTTAAAGACTTAAATTCTTTAGATTTATTTAAATTGGATAACTCTTAAATAATTATCAAGGTCTTCTAAAATGCGTTAATAATAAAGTTCTTCTAAAATGCAATGACTACACTGTATAGAGTCTTATTTATAAGGGAAGAATACATTGTTACGAGATTTGTTAGTTGGAACTATTAGATACTATAATGAAGAGTAATTCTATTGTTCGAATTTCTTTTTAAACACACAATTAACATTTTTTAAAATAAAATCAAATTCTTGAGCAATAAATGGTCTGTCTCTCTATATCGAATGTGTCTTACTAGCCATATTTCTATAATCATTTTCGTAGTTTGCATCATTATATTAATACCATGTAAATATCACATGGAGACCTGTCTTTTAAGCTATCAGTAACACATAATATTCTGCAAAGTTTAGTTATCACGGACACCGCCCCCAACACTGAGAAACCTTACCTGAATAATCACTGTATGCAAACCACTGTCAAAAAAGCAAGAATTGATATTCAAATAAGGGGCAGAAATATTACAAGGAGCATCACTGTTTACATTTTTACACACACTACGGTTCAGAAAAAGTTACTTTGCTTTCTAGATGGGAGATGATGTTCATGTATAAGCAAAGTCTGTTGTTCTAACATGAAGACTCTCTGTTGTAATCCATTTGCTCACTCAAGTTCAGCAATACGAATTATTTTCTTGTGTTTCCTGATCAGCCTCGTGACAGGTCAAGGTAGGAGCATTTTGTCAATTTCTAAATGATGCGGATTTAATCTATGACAACAGTTTCATTTCAAATATTAAACTACTATAGCATTAAACCTTGCAAGCTTTTTAAGTCATTCACATACTTAGGAGGATTTCTTTACTTAACTTCTTGTGATTGTTTAGTAACCAGCAATAAGTGAATAAGTTTTACTCAAAACTCAAAGCATATTCTGAGGGGTTTTTTTAAATCTTCACATAAGGATACCCTCCAGAATATTTAATAAGTTTTAAGAAACAATTGTAGACTTGAGAATGGTGAGAACGATATTGTTTGCTTGTCGTTAAATGTCCCTCTGGAGAATTTTTCACTCATATGGGGACGGCACCACCTGCCGTTGGAGAGCTGTCAATTTTGATCTAAACTCAGCACTCAAGATCATTGAGCTGTGGGGGATCTTTTTCTTACCAGCATCTGATGCAACACGGAACCTTTGTTCAAGACCTACAGTGGGAGAGCAGATGCTCTACCCCTGAGCAACGCAGACGACATGTCAAGATATATTTCCTCGGAAGCCAGAAATTTTAGGCACTATTTTCACAATCTATAAGTTTTACTGAATTTTTTTATTGTTTCGTCATAATTTTGGCATTTGCATGTCTTCCTCGTTTCAAATATTAAGACCATTTATGATCAAGGAGGTGAGTTCAAATGAGACCACTTTACGAAGAACGCCGTCATCAAATGTCCAATACTAATAATTGCTATGATTTATCATATAGATTTTTTCCTCACATTTTTAATGAATCTGTCCATGTACTTATACGATGTAAATTTCCTTCAAAATTTTAATGCTTTAACCTCGCTGTGGTTTCAAAAAATTACGAAGGCAAACGTTTACGAGAACAAAATAAAAGAATGCTTTCTGATGTTAACGAAGGAACAATTAACATGCTCAAAGTCCAGCTAAATAATACGCATTGTAAGCAGAGCAAATGCAAATCCTTAAAACATAAGATTTCAGATCGCATACCTTGAAGAACTGAGAATCTTCTCAAACGGTCACATGCATTGTATTGTCATGGTCGGGAACTAGTATATTGAAAAATAAGACCTTGAAACGTTGTCAGAATTGTTTAAATGTATCAGATGTATGTTACAAGCATTAAAACTTAAAAATTTTCAACTTTTCTATTACCATTCCCACGATGAATTAATTTCCAGGATTTTGAAATGATTGAAAGTTGCTTTTTCAACAAAAATGGAACTCGTAAATCTTATTTGACTCTGAAGTTTCAAAAAATTGTTTATATATTTGTATATTAACCTAATTGTCAGTTTGGATGTTTCGGGGTTTTTTCAAGAAATTTTACGTAAATATGCTCTTCTGTTTCGAAACAACTTGGAGACGTACAGCCCATAGGCAAGAGTTAATGATATTGCTTCATTATAAGAGAAGTTAGATATGGAGAAATTGAAGTCGTCAAGTTTGAAACAAGGTTTAGTTGTTTGTATGCAATTAATATTTTTCATCAGTTAAACTTTCAAATATGAAACAGATGGTTAAGACTCTGTGATGAATCCTTAAACTCGATCACAATTTGTTTTATAACACCTTTTTCAATTTTTATAAGAATTGAATTATCTGTGAAGAACAGGGCCTGAATTTCATTAGATTCCAAAAGATCGTCCGAAGATTATATTCCATATACTGTTAAATTATTCTCTTAAGATCAATTTCGAAGTTTCTTTTGTTTTTAATCAAACTATTATTTTTTTAACAGAATTACTTTGCAAATGACCATTGACAATGTATTTTAATTTACCTTTTTCCATAATTATTATACATGTACTCGTATCGTGATTAACCTTTTCACATTAATCGGACATTTTGCCTAAATTTTAAGAGTGAAATAAGATTACCAAGAAGCAGTCCTTAATAAAAAAAAACACCTGAGGATACATGTATTAAATATGAATACAAATAATTTATTTTCAATATAATTTAATTATACAGTCTAACAATAGGAATAAAACCTGGTTTATTAAATCCATGAACTATAAATAAAACTTCTTTTTTTTTTTAATCTATTAAAGAAAATACGACTAATTGGGTCAAACTTGACCTATGTGTAAGTGAAGGGGTTAATTAAAAAATATAGATTTACCTAATTGCAGATTTTAAGACAAAACTAAAATAATATGCTTCCCATTTTCAAGCTTATGGACAAGCTCACAATCTTTTATATGAAGCTTTAAAAAACTTTCAAAAAAGCTAAGGAAAAATTACAATTTGCACAATACTTTGCAAAAATTAAGAAATCTTTATCGTGAGTACTGCTTCAATAAATTAAAATTATCAAAAAGAACTTTATTCGGTATTAACCAATATTTGCCCCCGAAATCAAACTTTAATGGAGATATATTTAATTAAGTTCTTTAAAAACAGGGAAGTATATGCTGACTTCAAAGCACTGAATATTTTCATAAGTAATGACGCCATATGTACGTTATGACGTCACAAACATGATGTAATTTCAGTTTTTTATGAATTTTACAGAAAAAATGTACATATTTCGTCGATATTTTGAGTAAAAGTCACTGAACGCATGTGTGTTCAGGATCAATATTTTGATATAATGTGTAGAATGATAATATCAATGAAATATGTCAATATTTTTCCTGAACAAAATTGCGCTCTATAAATTTTAAAGCTAAAATTGTTGAAATTTTGTCCATTTTGTCCTCTTTCTGAAAAAAGGGTATAAAATCGGACTAGTTTCTGACGTCATAAAAACAAAAATTGTGAATACGCTGCTGTGAAACTATAATATTTTCCGTTAATTTATATTTTTTATACAATTCATTGAATTCAGCACATTTCAGGCAAGTTTAAAATTTGACTTTTGTGGGGGCAAATATATGCAATATACCGCATATAGTTCTTTCACAAAAGGGGTGGTGATTTGGCTAAAAGCACCTCTCCCTATAACATAACAATGCATAGTGTATAAAGATTTTTTTTTTCTCGGGGATGGAATTCATAAAACTTCTTAGTATATTCTTAAGTTGAAAAAATCACTTAAGCTATGTATTTTCATTTAACTTCTCGATTTTACTTAAATTTGGTACAAAAACTTCATTGCAATTCATAAATATACTTAGTGCATAAGTATTGACTTATAAAGTTAAATGTCCTCAGGAGGTTCTTAACGAGGCCGCGTTTAATTAGAGTGCTCATGACTTTTGCGCAGCTTTTCAACCTCATGTAGTCATAAATGCGACAATACACCTTCCACAAATATTGTGATTTCAGTATAAAAATTAACATTATCTGTCACGCCTACTGGTCTGAAAATGTGATTTTACGACAATTATTTGGGGGAAAAAACGCTGAAATGGCTCTAACGACGTCACTGTTTTCCGATTTTGTACGCAATGCACGACGCTTATATATTTGCAGACGTCCATGGATATTTTACCTAAAACTGTTAACAGAACATCAGAGGAAGCATACTAGCAATCTAAATATTGCTATTTTCACCAAAAATATCTGCGTCGATAATTCATATACATATATATTTATACCACAATATGGCAATTTTAGAGGTTTTAGGCATGCATCGAAAAAATAAACTTTGTAATTAAGACCGCGACCAAACTAGACTGTCAACTTTTTTTGAAATTTCACAATTTGTTGATTTTTTACAATAACTTTCATCTACTTGACTGCAGAAGAAATCTCTAGGGCAGAAATACAAAATATATGGGGAAAATGTAATAATGCGGGGCTTAAATTAAATCCAATAAATTCCCATAGTGTCCAATAGTAAATTTGACAACTTTTGAGATGCCCCCCTAAGAAATCTGGGTAGTAAACATTTGATTTTTTTTATCTTAAAACAATAAATATAACAGTAAAAATTAATAAGCAAAAAATTATCAAAATTCCTAGGGTAGAAATAATTAGACTCGGTCTCTCTAAGTAGATAAGAAATACTTTTATCCCAAAAGAGTGCACTTTTCTTTAGAAATTTCCATATGTTGCTGTGGCGATTAACTTAAATGCTCTAATGTCTTCAGAATTAAACTTAACGTAGCATTACACATACAGTAGAATTTTTATGAATATGACTTAAGATATATTTCTTAACTAAGAATTTATTTATACTTAAGTGTGTAACTTAGCACAAATCTTACATATCTTTATGAATTCCAGCCCTGATCGCAAAACAATATAAATGACTTCTAATTTCCTAAAAAGTTAATTAACATCGGTATCTATCAGTTAAGTTAGATTAAAAGAACCTCAATTTCTTTAAATATGTAATTTAAAAACTCTTTTATGGGTAAAATTTAGCTTTTTAAAAAATTAATAAGACCTTTCCAAGAACTCAAAAAAAAGACTTTAAGCACATTGAGACGTATAAAATGAAAATTGTTGCATTGTTGACAAAGCATGTAAATTATACATGTAAACCTCTTCCACAACACTTACATGTATCATTGTAATTTACCCTTTCACATTTAAAGTTTTATTTTTGCTAAATTCTAAGGGTTGAAAAAGATTTCCCTAGAAGATTCTTAATAAAAACAATACACATTATTATATATAAAATGCTTACACCGATGCATTACATACGTTGATGATATAAAGATATCAGCTATCAGATATCTTATTGGAAGATGACCATTTTTGTTCATTCTAAGTTTGATATAATGACCGTTATAACAAAACAATTTATCTTTTACTCCGAATTATGTTGGCATTCATAAACTATTGCTAAAATTTTTAAAAATTTTTTAATCTATTAAAATAAACAAACTTGCCGAGTGACTCTAAATGTTTCCCTATAATATTTTTATGTTAATATTATATTATAACTTGTTTCTTTTCTCCATTAGAACCTGATAGTGATTATTTGCTTGATTTGAACTATATTAAAAGAAAAATGTGTTGGTAATCTTAAAAAGTGACTTCAATGTAATCTCCTTGCCAAGCTATATTTCTCACTTTCCAAAAATTTTTGTAGTCACGAAGTTGCATGATATACTTGTTCAATGTTTATTTGAGTAAATGTATATTACACTGCAAGATTTATAGCTTCTTTACACGAAATATTTAATGTTTAAAATACGCTCAACAATCTCAATAGTAAAAGTGTATACACACCAACGTTCCAGAACAAGGTGAACTTAGACGACCGATTTTAAATATGCTTTTTGTTAGCATTTTTGGTCATACGATAAGCAAAATCTTTATTTTTTATAGAAACTTGATTCAGGACACATTCTCATGAAAAATATCTTCACAAAAATTATATTTAATCATTAAAAATATAGGCAGATATCTAGCACCTAAATAAAAAAATAATAAATACATGCAGTTAAAAATTCCCCACGACAAATTAAAATCCAGACTTTTTGATATCATTGACAGCTGCTTCTTCAACAAAAATGAAACTCGTAAATTTACTTACCTCGTCACTGGTCATTTGAAAAATTATTTTGTTAAAACAGATTCTGATTGCACACAAAAGTACTCTGAAGTTGACATCAAGAAGATGCTTGGGTTTCTGATTGACAAAATCTATGTGGTTTTTGGAGACCAGGTATTCCAACAATCTTTTGGAATTCCCATGGGTACAAATTGCGCTCCTTTATTAGCAGACTTATTTTTATATTCATATGAAGCAGAATTTATGCAAAATCTTATTCGTGAAAAGGTGAAAACACTTGCTGTGGCCTTGAGATAAAAGATACCACAGAGTCCGACACTTCTGCTTCATAGTAGGATAGTTTACTTGAAAAGGACACTAATGGTAATCTAACAACCAAGCTATATGATAAACGTGATGACTTTAACTTTTCTATCGTCAACTTCCCTTACTTATGCAGCAATATACCTTCATCACCTGCATACGGAGTATATATATCTCAGTTGATTCGATACGCAAGAGCATGCTCTACGTATGAACAATTTCTTAAACAAGGTAAATTATTGACAAGCAAGTTGATGAAACAAGAATATCAACAGTCTCGTTTAAATTCATCATTTCGTAAATTCTATGGTCGATACATTGACCTTGTCAGCAAATACAATTTATCATTGAATGAAATGCTGACTGACGTTTTCCATACCAATTGTTAGTCCACTCTTTATACACTGGATTGACGACGGATTTTTTCCGTTATTTCCTGATTATGACAATGAGCACAAGACGGGTGTGACCGGTCGGCAGGGAATGCTCACTCCTCCATTGCACCTGATCCCACTTCTGATGTTTCGGAGGTCCGTGTTTGCTCTGCTCTTATTTTGTATAATGTTTAATTGACGTTGAGATTGAATACTGTTCGTTATTTCCATATCTTCCTTATACCCCTTATAAATGCTATTTACTTCAACCAGTATTTTTGGAAAGGTTTAAGGGTACGGGGGTAGATGATTTCTAATTTCTTACATAGAAAGGAGACATTCAGCGAAGCAAGAATAAACATAAACGTATCCGGTGTTGTAAAATTAAATAACACCTCGTTATATTGTACATCCTTGCCACTTCTTCGTGACAGACATCGGATTGTGTTCTACATTTTATTATCAGGGGTTAAATATACTTTATTACTGGCAAATTATACATTAACATGATTAGGTGTGATATTGCGATGCCATCTCTTTCACTGGTGAATATGCAATTATGGAAGGTGTTAGTAAAAATTTCAAAACTCCAAAGTAGTAAATTCGAGTTAAGTTTTTTAGCAAGATTTTACATAAAAACTGTAAAATCTAATTAGATTCTGTTTCATAACATTAATATAATTGATATAAGGAAAATAAAGTATACAAATTCTAGAATTCTACTTATTTATTGTTTAAGATTAAACTTCTTAAACATTTTAATCAGACAGAGTATATAAATCCAAATGTTTATAAGATACCAAGTGTGATCAATCATACGTAAACATAAATACGGTTATTTTAATGAATTATGACAGTAATTCTGAACACATAGAATTTGAGGGAACTTCATTTTGTAAAAAAAAATGTATATGCATCCTGAGCTACTAATAAAAAAATAATGAACCAATTGGATTTCCTTGACATTTCTATGATTATTTAATCGCTCAGTTTTTTTAATCCCAATATTATAGAACATCGAGAAATACCACTGACATGTGCCTCAAACTGGACCCAGTATGACAGGAATTGCTACCGACTGTACACGTCGGTAAAAGATTGGATTGGCGCCTATAGGTATTGTCAACTCGAAGACAGCATTTTGGTGGACATTGCCTCTGAGAGTGAACAAAATTTCTTGCAAGGTGAAGTTTAAAATTTATTCTTAAAGAATGGATTTGGATTTTTGTACCAAACCAAACAATTGCAAAGATTCAAAATATTTAAAATTTCAATTTCAATAAAAGTTTTCTATGATGAAGGTAATTTTAAAAGACGTGTAAATTACTGCGTTTTTTTTTTTAAATAAAATGATGATGATGATTTCATTAAATCAAATATTTTCCTAGGGTCAAACTTTGGTTAATTTAGAAAAAAATATTGGTTTGTGATTTGTTTTGAATTTGAAATTCTTTACTTTTTATTGAGGATATCAATTCATGGTCTCGTAACACATATGTTAACAAATCAAACCGCCTCGAAAAAATAAGTTATTTCTTGGTATATCTAAAACTTATTAATGAATAAAATCATTACTTTAATTGTATGATAAAGTAAAACATCTTTTTTACATACGCATGTGTATATCTTCAGATTTCGTCAATGGAAGGGATGTTTGGATAGGTGCCTCTAGTATCTTCGTAAATGGCCAGTGGTTGTGGTATGGCAGTCACCAATACTGGAATTACACCAACTGGAATACTAGTAAGGCTGGGGATATAAAATGTAATAGTTTTCACAAATTTTCATTGCTTTCGACTGCTTCTGAGATTGAAGATGCGCAATCTTTAGTTAAACAATAAAATGCTTTCTTTGTTATTACTGGAATACACGGAAGCAGCTGTTGCAGAAAAAAATACATAACCTGCGTAAGCGGGTTATGTATTTTTTTTTTTTGCAATAGCTGAGACCGTTCATTCCAGTTATAACAAAGAAAGTAAGACATTTTATTGTTTATATTAAGACCGCGGAACATTAACTTGCAAAATTGGAAATATACAGTTTACGTCATTTCTATCTATTACAATCAAAACATTCAGTGATAGTGGAAGGGTACATTTCAACACGAACGTTTGGAAAACATGGGATTTTGAAATTGCAGATCGAAATTCATTTTCAATCCACCTCAGCTACGCTACAATTCGACGCGGACGTTTGGAAAACATCGGATTGAAATTGCAGATCGAAATTCATTTTCAATCCACCAGAACTGTTTTGATAGCTAAGAGTGAATATATGATCCAAAATCAAATAATTTCAACTCCCGAATACATATTGTTTGAAGTTCACATTAATACGAGTTTTAGCTTATAATTTTATGGGCGAGAAAAATGATAGAAGACAAAGCTTATTTTTCAGGAGATATTTGATTATCAACTTGGGGAGTCAGGTCATGTAATGTTTACATGACAACAGATTTTATTTCAAGGATTATTAGAATGCATGAATTGTATACTTATTCTCACTGAAAAATGTTGGACAACTTTATTTAAAATTGTTAAGCCCCCCTCTTCTAAAACAAAAGTTTATTTACCGAGCAGAAATGAAATATTTGTCCCTTAATATTTTTTTTAAACACTAGAAAAAAAATTCAAACTGTACCAAAATTGAAATTATTTGTCTTCTGGGAAAGTCAGTAACTCTGTGGCTTCTAGCGTAGTTGAGGTGGATTGAAAATGAATTTCGATCTGCAATTTCAATTCGCGTCGAATTGTGCCCACCCATTACGCTGTCTATCACTGAATGTTTTGATTGTAACAGATAGAAATGACGTAATGTGTATATTTCCAATTTTGACAGTTAATGTTCCGCGGTCTCATATCTGTTTGAGTTATCATTTTAAGTAGGATTAAAAATATTAATTATTGTGTTAATGATTCGAACGTCTTTGTACGTTTCATTGATGGAACGGCCACTGATCAAGAAATCTGTACAGGTGATATGCCTACTGTATTTCATGCAGTGATGAACGCAATGGATTTTCTTAAGGACAGACGAGACATTTCTTAACACTAGATAATTTTTTTTAAGATTTTGTCATTGAGGTATTGCTACTTAAACATGTTTACTCACAAGAAATTGAGGTACCTTACCAGGCATTTCTGCAAGATACAACGAGTAGTATTTCTTATATAATCATTTGGGGAAGAAAAATAATTTTTAATTACAAATATATAAGTGTTCGGATTTTTTAAAAACGTTTAGAAACTGGTTTAGAAATCAGAATGTTATCGAAATTTTGAACATTTTTCATACATTATGAAGATATCCAAAACAAGTTTTGAGGAACGTCCCGTCTGACCTTAAGAAATAAAGAAGAAAATATTCAGTGGATGTAAATATTTATTCGTGAATATCGCAGATATTACTTGCACACGTATTTGTAAACGGTTTTAACATATTTTGTACATGAATGTAGCTAGCACACAGCTATGGCACGCCAAATTCACAAATATGAGATAATCATAGTTTCACAATTGATAAACTAGGTTTATCGACTGTAAACTATAGTTTACAAACCGTAAAAGTATAGTTAACGATTGGTTAACGATAGTTAACGACTATATTTAACGGTTGTTAACTATAGTTTACGAATGATAATTTAAGTTTATTTGTCTGTAATAAGCGTTAACAATAGATTTTGTTGATAAACATAGATTAACGTTTGTAAACTATAGTTTACAATCGTAAACTATAGTTAAGAGTTGTTAATCATAGTTTCACAAATCGTGGAACTATATTTATCAGATCGTCAACTATAGTTAACGGTTTGTAAACTATAATTTACACATCGTAAAACTGTATTTATCGGATAATCTATATTTTGCAATCGCAGATGATAGTTTTCAGTGTGAAGTATAGTTTACGGTTGTGAAACATAGATTATCGCGTAAACTATGGTTTACGGATGTGAAATATAGATTAACGTTGTTTACTACATTTAACAGTCCGTAAACTATAGTTTACAACCGATAAACCTAGTTTATCGAATGTGAAACTATGTTTATCTCATTTTTGTGAATTTGGCGTGCCAGACACAGCAGTTTGATTGAGCAACTCGGATTGGTTACTCCTTATACCAATGTGTTGTCAGGGATCCGTATTTTGTCTGTTCTTTATAATCGTTGTACGTCAACTTGACCGTTGTTTTGTAGTTTGAGAAGTTGATGATACCTTATTGACGAGTGAGGTCGAATGGTCTTTCCTATGTGATCTTTTTTACAGATGAACCAGATAACGCGGGCAGCGTTGAAATCTGCACTACTCTGGACAACGAAGGAAAATGGAGTGACCGTGACTGTGGACAACAGAGAGCATTTGTCTGTAAACAGAGAAGTACGTTAGTAAAAAATCAGCAAAAATTCAAAGTAAAATGATTTTTTATCAAAACAATTAGCATTAAAACAAAGAAATGATCATACATTTATAATTTTAATTTAATTATGTGTCTAATTGAAAGCTTTTCTGTCCTTCTGTGACTCTTCCTGGGCCGTGAAAGACGGGCATTGTTACAAACACTTCACAAAGCAATTCACATGGACCACCGCCATGAAAAGTTGTCAGGGCAAAAAAGCCGTTCTCGTTAGCATACAAAACTCTGCTGAACAGTCTTTCATGAACGGTATATAAAGTTTAATATTTTGTATGTAGTGTCCGAAGGTTTAAGAAACAATGATTTTTTTTTAAAGTGTGTTATTGTAGAATTAAGAATATAAGGGTTCACAAATGGAGAAAAAATATTTTGCAGGACTGTATACTGGGGATGAATTTTGGATCGGAGGATTTGATAGACACAGAGAAGGCACGTGGTCTTGGTCTGGAACAACCTTGTTGTTTAGTAACACCTACTGGATGAGTGGTAAGTGAATTTGGTAGATTTAGAATGGTTGTCTCAATTATCTTAATTATGCTGTTAAACACTTTAACGGGTTTTATAAACACATATACCCCTGGTGTCTGCATGGTAATAAAGAACGGATTCTTGAAAATCTACAAATAGTAGAGATTGGGAGCTATCAATTGATATTTTTCTATTTCTATTTTTTGACTGTTAGCTTACCAATACATTTTACAGGTCAGCCTAACAATGGTGGTAACCAAGACTGTCTAACATCTCTCAAAGGATCTGGTCTTTGGAATGATCGCAAATGTCACGAAAAAAGGACGTATATGTGTCAAAGAAATAGTAAGTCTATTCGTGTGCCAAAGTTAATAATGAAAACGAAAAAAAAAAACGTTTTGAGTTTAAAAGATGACATTGTATAGTCTTTCTTTAATAAATATAGAATCAATAAAATAATTTTTTTAAATGGAAAATTTGTATTTTACATCTGTGTGTTTCTTCATCGAAAGAATATTTTGCGATACATTTTATGATTTCTTGGATTTATAAAAACAACCTCTTAGTTGATTTTTAAGAGCCATTCTCTGTAATGATTTGAAATTTTATATAGGAGCTGTGGCACGCATAGTCTCAGAATTTCTCCAAACTCTCTTTGATAAAAGGCACTGATACCCTGAACTAAAATCAGGCAAAAATTGGTTGCTATGTTTTATAGTTACCATGGCAACATATCTTAAAGTTCGAAAAATGGCATTTTTTAACATGTTTAGAGCCCCATAGTTAACAATTGCGGCAAAGCAAACAATTGTTAATGACTGTTTTCCAAAGTTGAAGGTAAGATATCTCAAATGCATGATAAACATGTTTGGTAAATCAACTATTACATACGTTACTATGGTAACAAAGTATTCAAAAGTAAAAAAAAATATTCATTGAATTTTATGAAGTCATACTCGTAAAAATGAAAAGCAATTATAGGATGAAATGTTACCAAATAATAGAAAAAAAGAGCCTTGAAACACATACCACGAAAAAATATGATATTTTATTTTGGTTGGCAATGGTTGTCAAGGTTTTTATGCCCCAGAGAGCCTTCAAAGTAACACCTTGTATGTTTAAATCAGATCCTATCTTTTAAAAAAAGCACATTTCCTCATAACTAATGATCAATTTTATAAGATGTTGGTGTGCTCCAAATTTTCCCATTTCAAAAAATTCAGATTAGATTCTTTAAATAGAGCGTTGCTATGGAAATAAGCAGAAAATATATGCTTAAAAACGTAAAAAATATTTTGTTTCCTTGGATACGTACCCTTAAATGTAGATTCCCAAAACTTTTATGATTGATAATTATTAACAACTAACTTGACTTTTAATTTTGACTATCATCCAATCTCTAAGTGGATGCAAGAAGTTGGCACACAGGATTTAATATTGATATAAAGTTAAAAAAAATCGAACATTTTCTCTTCTTGGTAACCATAGCAACAGTGTTGTTTTATTCATCAAATTTTATCAATATATGATATTTAACTTCAGTTCTAACAGATAAGACTATTCCAGATGAGCTCTTTAATTTGTTTCTTGATTAAATGGCAATTTAATTCTTAATGCAGCGGAAAAAAATCACTTTTAAGCACTAGTACTTTGTTTCCATGGTAACACTACAAAGTAGCAATTATACCCAATTTTTCTTATGGTTTTGGTGTTGCAAGGTCCTAAGGATGTATATTTGCCAGTCTTGAATTTTCATGTTTTTCCTCAAAACAGTAGCATTAACCCAATCTTAGTTACTGGTTTTGCATTGTTACACTGTGTTACCATGGCAACCATAAAAGTTATTTATAGAATAATATTGCTTATACTTATATACTTAAGGTCAAACATTTTCATTGTTTTTCTTAAGTCAATGATTGAGTTTTAGCATGTAACACCTACCACTAGTGAATATGGAGTGTTTTTGAGCATATTTCAGCATTTTAAATGTATTCCAAATGTACCCTTGGTTACCACTTACTTAGAGATATATTCTAAACAGTTTCTTCACAGTATAAGTGACATCAAGGTGTCATGTTTTTGTTAGAATGGTTTGTTTGCTTTTTCTAGTTTTTATTAAGCCACAGTCAGGATTTAAAGTGGCTGAAAATCTCGATTTTTCAAACTTTTCCGGCTGTTGCCATAGCAACCGAGACACTTAGCAACGAAATTTTGTTTGATATTTGTTTCTGGTGTCAAGTACTAAGCATGGGTGAAGTTTCAATAAAATCGATGACCATGCGTGGCAACGAAGTTTAAGTGGTTACAGAGAATGGCAATTAAATACTTGACCAAATACTCGACAAATTACACGCAGCAAGATTTTTATTGTTTTCTATATCAAGCACAAAAACAAATCATAGTATTGAAATATAACACAAACAAAATATTTTTAACACTAACTATGGAAAACATTATTTAAATTATTTATTAAAATAGGAATCTATGAAATATATTCATTTGGTTATTTCTGAAGAAAGGTTGTTAATGTTGCTAATCCTTGATTTATTCATTTTTTCGCAAATAAAATGAAATTATAAATTTCCAATACTGTTATGATGAAATAACAATCATTGTTAAGAAGGAAACATGAATACTTAATGTTTGAAGGCTATTCTATGGAACGCCGTCACTGCCTTATAGCAGAACACTACTATTGCATTGTGTCAACCTTCCATTACATTATGTCAACTCTTCATGGCATTTACTCACAATACTATTGCATTGTGTCAAGCTTCCATTACATAATGTCAACTCTTTATGACATTAACCCACACTACTATTGCATTGTGTCAACCTTCCATTACATTATGTCAACTCTTTATGACATTAACCCACCCTACTATTGCATTGTGCCAACCTTCCATTACATTATGTCAACTCTTTATGACATTAACCCACACTACTATTGCATCGTGTTAACTTTCCTTTACATTATATCAACTCTTTATGACATTTACATATACTACAATTTTATTTCGTCAACTTGCATTTCGTTATGTTTACTTTTTATGACAATCTTAGTTTTTATTAACTGATGTGAAAAGCTCATGCCATACTGTGCGCACTCTTCTACATTATGTCGATTCACTATTACGTTATGCGAACGCGGGTATCCTCGGTCTTTATATGAGCATAACGTATTTTCCGCGTTCCGCAAGCACTAAAATGGCGGGAAAACTGTCGTAGAAGAGATTCTCAGCGATTTCGGAATGACATCTTTAAATGAAAACTTTAAGCGACAAATGATTGACAATCTTGAAACATGCAAAGCCTTAACACTGCGACTGTGAATTAAAGTCACGTCGAAATTCAATGGTGTTTACTTTAATCTGATAATTAAATAAATCAAATATTATGAGTCGTGCAGCAATAATTTTTTTCTTTTTATTTTTATTTTTATTTTTTTTTATTATTTATTTTTTTATATATATATAAAAGTCTTAAACTTTGTAGGACATTGCATTAGTTTCACATTAAGTTGAAAACTTTTTTCTATAAAACTATAAAGCCTGAGAGCTTCTCCGCTTTTCGCCCTTGGTCTCCAACCATATACCGCCTCCCTTCCTTGTTCAAGATTCCCATATCTGCCACTGATATGTGCCCATGCATGCTTACTAAGGCAATTGATTTAGATGAGCGACTGGTAGATTTTTGTAATAGAATTCTGGCCCTGGAATGATTAAAAAAAATTACTAACTCCAGTGACGTTACTAGCATCATTTTTTTGAAAGAGGAGGTCAGCCAGTAAAAAAAATCATTTATCCGAAAAAAACTAGACAAGCCAAGAAAAAAAATGTCCAAGCCCGAAAATCCTATTTCGGGGAGAGTGGTCCAACTTCAATCAATCCTATTTTTTTTCCAGATCTATTATATTACCCTTAGTGGACTATATTTCAACAAGAAGTGGGGTTGGGGGGCTGTACAATTTCAATGAACATTACATTTTCTATAGTAAAGTTATGTCTGAGAAAAGAGGGGGGTTGATATTATGTGCCTGTAATTTGTCCTAATCAATCACGACCCCCCCCCCCCCCTTCTTACCAGTCATTAAAACACGGTCGTCAACATTTATTATATAGATATACAGCTTTGAGATAATGTAAATGTATTTTTGCATCAGGTAATGAACCTGGAATCCACATGATAAAGAGTTAACACAATATAAAGATATTTTTAAATCACATAAGAAAGAGTTGGCATAACGTTATAATATATCCACATCACGGTATGGAGTTTTGACATAATGTAATAAAGTGTTGATATAATATAAAGATATGTTCACATTATGTTATACACTTTTTACACCACGTAATAAAGCACTGACATAAAGGTAAGATGTGTTCACCTCACATCATGATGCCCTCGCCGTAAAATAAAGATAAATCCATATCACGTAATAATACTTTGATATAATAGAAATATACACTCTCAAAAAAGAATGGGCTTTTGACTTCATGTGATGATAAGTTTAATTATAAAACACAATTTACTTGACGTAATGCAATTTTGACCTCACATATTAAAGAAATGAAATGATGTAAAGAAACATTCATTTCACGTAATAAAGTTTTAACACAATGTAAACACATTATCACTTCACATAATGAATTTTTTACTTCAAGTTATGAAGTGCTGACATAATGAAAGGATGTATTTACTTCATGTAATGCAGCATTGACATGATGTTAAGATATATTCTCATCATCCCATAAAAAAATGGACATAACGTAAAGATATGTTCACATCACGTAATGATAAATTGACGTAATAAATGCATAGTTGTATGCTATAAGGCAGTGATGGCGTTCCATACTATTCGAAGATTGATTGTATGTTGTTTTAAATTCCCTTCAAGAATTTTTCATTTTTAGGTCACCTGAGTAAACTCAGGTGACCTATTGCTATCCGTTTTCGTCCGTCGTCGTGCGTCGTCCGTCGTCCGTCGTGCGCCGTGCGTTAACATTTGAACATTTTCAGCTTCTTCTCTGCAACCACTGAACCAATTTCAACCAAATTTGGCACAAAGCATCTATGGGTGAAGGGAAACAAAAATTGTGAATTTCATGATCCCTGCCCCCCTGGGGCCTGAGGGGTGGGGCCAAAACCACTAAAATTAATGCAATCTTTAAAAATCTTCTTCTTTACTCCTGGACATCAAGCAGTCAAACTGTTTGCATGATTGTAATCAGCAATGAGTCCTCTACCAAAATTGTGAAATTCATGGCCCTGGGGTCAGGGGTTCAAGTGCTAGGGCGGGGCTCAATAAGTAGGTAGTGAAAATGCATTATTTCTTTGAAAATCTTCTTCTCTACTCCTGGGTATTAAATAAACAAACTAAGTACATAGTTGTGATGAGCAAGAGTGCCTCTACCAAAATTGTGAATTTTATGGCCCCAGGTTCAGGGGTTCTGGTGTTAGGGCGGGGCTCTATTGATTATATAGTGAAAATACATGAATTCTTTGAAAATCTTCTTCTCTGCTCCTGGGTATTAAATAAACTAACTAAGTACATAGTTATAATGAGCAAGAGTGCCTCTACTAAAATTGTGAATTTTATGGCCCCAGGGTCAGGGGTTCTTGTTTTAGGGTGGGGCTGTAATAGTGAAATGCATGAATTCTTTGAACATCTTATCCTTTGCTCCTGGTTAATATACTAATGACCTAATTACATATTTAAGGCCAGGATTTATTTTATTTTCAGTTTTACAAACCCTCCGCTCAAGGTTTTGAATTTTCAGAAAAAAATAAAACAATTTTTTTCTCTCCGATGTCAAATTTGAGTCGGGATCGAGATTTCAAATTTACGAACTCGCACTTCCGGTTTTAAGATGAAACGGCGGGTAAATAAAGCTAGATCTGAGCTTGGTTAAGTGTAAAATTCATCGATACGAGTGCCATTCAAAACGTTTCACCCGTTCAAAGGACAAATAAAATGTTGACGACTTTGCTGCACAATGACATGCTGGTGAGATAATTATGTATTCGTTTCAAAAGTATCTGTCTGTAAATTATTTTCCTCCCCCAGGTTTTAAACTGCCCGTGGTAGCTATTGCATATAAGCAATTAAATGTTCTACTTTCCTATTTGTAAGTATTATGTGTCCAGTTGTAAGGAGCCTATTAGAATGGCGTGAAAAAAGAATGTACAAATGTTAATAATTGATTTATCAAAAATTCTCATGTTCATAACTAAACCTAAACATAAAAAAATGCTGGCCTTATAATGAAGAAAGGGGTCTCTTTCAAAATAGATAATTTCAGGGCCGCTGGGTCAGGGGTACCAGGGGGGTACTTTGACTAAAAATAAATTAATGCTTTGAAATCTGCCCTTTGATAAGCAATGGTGCCTCCTTCAAAATTTGTGAATTTCATGGCTTTTTGATTAAATTACGAACCAAATACAGTCACTGGAAAGTTGTTACATGATACTCAGGTGACCTATAAGGCCCATGGGCCTCTTGTTATAGAGACGTCACCATATAGTCTCAAATTTAGACATTTACTCGGCACTCTGGGCCATTGAGCAGTGAGGGTTTTTTATCTTACCAAAGTCTACCGTGGCACGGGCCCTCGGTCTTTAAGGTATCATCTGAAGGACCAGCAACTTTCACTTCAGGTGCCGAGCGCATGGCGAGGGACACATTGCAATTTTTAATCGACTAAGGTCAATCGCGACCGCTGTTCGAATGCACGACCCTCCGATTACGTCTTTGCAAACTTCTCAGACATTGGCATTTTTAATTGAAATATATTAGGCTACTGATGAATTTAATTGCTGAATCTTCTTAGTCTTAGTTCTGAATGAATAAAGAAAACTCCTTTTTTTAGTGTACTTGTAAGATTTTTGATAAGCACCAATGCATACTGTTTTTGATCAAAGTTGATGTGAGCGACGACCTTATCCTAAAGTGTTTTACCTTATCGAAGATGAAAAAAAATATTTCAATCAAGAGGCATAGTTTATATACGTGAAGACTTCATCCTAAAATTGTTTCATTTGAAGATTATAGAAGTTAATTAAAATGCTTTATTTCCTTCTAGCTTTTCACTTAGACAAGGATCCTGTTTTAACCTTCGAAGTCAATGAAACTACTCAAGAAACAAGCCTCCTCTGTGACTTTGATACCAATTTCACTGATATTGAATTCCTCGTAAATTGGTACTTTAATTCTGACATGATAAAAGAGGAAATAGTGACGATAAACAAAACAGAGAGCTTGTTGGAAGAAACACAGATTCCTCCTCTTCTCTTTGGAGACCAGGTAATGACAGAAAAATTGAAAGTTCAATTGTGTGTCTTTTTTATCTATAAAAGTAATATAAAATGGTCTTCCTTTTTATGACATTTTCTATGCATGTTTCTCCTTTGAAATTTAAATTTTTTAGTTGCAAGGGGTTTTGCTTGCGTTTGACGTTAAACAATTTATTAAGAGTTATGGATACCTTTTTATATCAATGATAAATTTAACTATTTGTTGTTCTAGTCATATTTTATCTTCAACCATTTGTAGATTAAATGTAGCGTCACTCCCTGTATGCCTGGAAACTGCTTTGGCTTCAGAGGTTCACCGAGAAACAGTAAAATTTTCATTGCAAAAGTACAGGTAAAACAAGCATTTAATATCAAACAAGTATTTAATATCAAACCATGTTTTTCTTTTTTATTCATTTTTGTTTGCATTCAATTTTTTTAATCAACTAACTTTGTTTTTATGATTGAGGAGTGATTAATCAATCCAAATTTTCTATGCTAATTCCATCAACAATAAGTTAAAGACATGGTTTTCATGTGTTCAGAATTACATCAATATCTTTGTGATTCTTATATCAGCAGCTTGTAAACAGTTGGTATTTATATCAAAGGGTTTACATTTTAAAATGTACATCAAATTCAATGATATTGTTCTTTTATCATAGGTGGAAAGTGGCACACAAATAACTGTCCATGAAAGGTCAGGGCCTGTCATCATAAACGTCACCAGTACAATCCCTCCTAGATTGTTTTGTTATAAAGAACTGAGGGCAAATGCATGCAAAGTGGAAATCACTACTGAGCTTGTCAAGGGTAATCCTTCAAACATAATGTATTTTGAATGTTTAAAAACATCAGGATGATTCGTATAATTTAAGCTGTCATTAATCCCCCCGCTTGAAAAGTAGGAGGGTATATAGTTATCGGGATATCCGTCTGTCCGTCCGTCTGTTACGCATTATCGCTTATTCGCAACTCCTCTTATACTACTGAGTTAAATTAAATGAAACTTTCAAAAAATCTTTATTACATACTGCCATTGTGACCTCCTATTTTACTTTTTTATTCGACACGTATTTTAGGTTTCCTATAGCAAAACATGGACATTGCTATTTTATATTTAACTATGGCGTTCCCATATAGAAGCTTCTGGATAACATTTTATAGGACAAGTTATTCCTCTTTACACATTACCGTAAAACAATATATTACAACACATTGATCTTATATGAGGCGAGGGGTATTATTTAGTTAGCTCCTAGCTGCAGATCTGTAGCGTTATGGTGTTATATATTTGTCTTGGACCATAACGCTACAGATCCTGTAATGCAAAGAGGAGAAATTTACGGCGCAATATTTTTTGCACGCTTTTGAGAAGAATTTCTCCACTTTCAAGCATTGCTCAATCAATTACCTTTCTTTCCCCAATTCTAGACACATTCTGTAGCCAATATATATATTTAATACACCTCCCAAAACTTTATACTCGTCTCTACAAGGTATAAACTCGCTTGATTAAAATTATTTGTTAGATTGCTGAAAATTCACTTCTAGCGACTTAATTGCCTGTAGAGACAACTACAAATGGTTGAAAGTTTGATAAAATATATACATGTATATATATATATATATATATTGGCTTCAAAATGTATCAAGAATAAGGGAGTGAAAGGTAGTTGATTGAGCAATGCTTGAAAGTGGAGAAATTCTCCCCAAAAGCGCTCAAAAAATATTGCGCCGTAAATTGCACCTTTTTTGCATTAGAGGATCTGTAGCGTTATGGTCCAAGACAAAAATATAAAACCATACCGCTACAGATCTGCAGCTAGTGAGCTCCTTGCTCACAGTACCTCTAGTTTTATTTTATTATTTTACCCTATAGCAATTTTTTAAAAGAAATATTCTCTCTCTCTCTCTCTCGATCGATCGATCGATCGTACAATCGAATATGCACATTAAGAGGAAGAGAGAAAGACAGTGAAAAACAAATTTATCAAATTGTCCTTTTAATTGTCAGGACGGGAATTTAAATGTAGGGGTTTTCCTGTAAGCCAAGCTGTGTTTGGTATGGACAATCTACAGACAAAACCATGTTCTCATATGATCAACAAGGACAACTGGCAATCTGGAGTTTTGATATCCGTCAAAGCTTCCATAGACAGTTTGAGAGATAGAAACCAAAGGCGAAATATCCGTTTATCTCTCAAAACTCCGAATAACACCAAGGAAATCTCCACTGTACAGGTATACCAGGGAAATAGTCTTGAGATCTGATATGAAATGCACATAAAAACATTCTTAAAAATATGAGAATGCTTTTCAAATTTACATATACTTTAGGTGACAGTCATTGATGGAGATAAAGTAGCATTATGTTCTTCAATAAACGACCCCCATATGGCAACATTCGATAAAAAGTGAGAAAAATAAATGTATTTATTGAAAAAAAAACATTATGTTTTTTAACATTCGGATGGTAATATTTGTTTATTAGGTAAAATTTTAACATTAACAAATGATAATCATATTTATTTTCCTCTTCCTATAGTAATCAAATCATATACTGGAAATATAAACGAATCTCGAGAGAGTAAAAAATTAAAAGTGTGATTTTTTTAAATTGAACTTATAGCATTGTTTGGATTGTACTATTAAAAATTAATTGAAAGGTATATTTTCCTTATATTTTTAGATATTACGACGTCTACCTTGAGGGAGAATTTATTCTGTACAGACACAGAACCTTGCCTTATGAGGTGCGACAGGTGTCTAATAATGACACAAAAATATTTATTTTCAGTTTTCAAACAATGAAAAATATGGAGATAACAAACAGTATTCAAGATCAAATTTTCATAAAACCATACAAAACAGGAGAAAAGCAAACACATACATCCAAAACATCAGGGGTGGGATCAGGTGCCAAAGAGGAGTGAGCATCCCCCTGCCGACCGGTCACACCCGCATTGTGCTCCTTGTCGGAGAATAACGGAAAATCCGTCATCAATTCAGTGTATAGATAATGGACTAACAATTAGTATGAAAATGTCAGTCAGCATTTGACTCGATAATAAATTGCAATTACTGACAAGGTCATTGTATCGACCATAGACCTAAGAAATGGTGACTTTGAACGAGACTGCTGATATTCTTTTTTTGTCCACTTGTTTGTCAATAAATACACGTGTGGCTCTTCTCCACGATATTATATAAATTGTTTATTAATGGTAGATATATTTATTTGTTCTTAAATACCATTTTTATTTCACACGTTGAAGACAATTTTTTTTAATCTTAGGAAAATAATGGGCATAATATTTAACTTTTTAGGTCACCTGAGTAACTCAGGTGACCTATTGCTATCCGGCCGTTTTCGTCGGTCGTCGTGCGTCGTGTGTCAACATTTGAACATTTTCAGCTTCTTCTCTAAAACCAAAATTAACCAATTTCAACCAAATTTGGTATAGAGCATTTATGGGTGAAGGGAAACAAAAATTGTGAATTTCATGGTTCCCGCCCCCTGGGGCCTGAGGGGTGAGGCCAAAACCACTAAAATTATTGCAATCTTTAAAAATCTTCTTCTCTACTCCTGGACATCAAGCAGGCAAACTGTTGGCATGAATGTAATGAGCATTGAGTCCTCTACCAAAATTGGGAAATTCATGGTCCCGGGGTCAGGGGCTCTAGTGCTAGGGCGGGGCTATATAGATTATATAGTGAAAATGCACTATTTCTTTGAAAATCTTCTTCTACTTGGTATTAAATAAGCTAACTAAGAACATAGTAATGATGAGCAAGAGTGCCTCTGCCAGATTTGTAAATTTTATGGCCTTAGGGTCAGGGATTCTGGTGTTAGGGTGGGGCTGTATAGATTATATTTACATTTAATCTTTGAAAATCTTCTTCTTAGCTTCTGAGTATTAAATACACTAACTCAAAGCACACAGTTATGACAAGCAAGAGTGTCTTTTCCAAAATTATGAATTCTATGGCCCCAGGGTCAAGGGTTCTGGTGTTAGGGCGGGGCTCTATTGATTATTTAATGAAAATGCATTTATTTTTTGAAAATCTTCTTCTCAGCTTCTGGGTAATAAATAAACTAAGTAGATAGTAATGATGAGCAAGAGTACCTCTTTCAGATTTGTGAATTTTATGGCCCCAGGGTCAAAAACAATTTTTTGTTTATGGGTTTTAATGAATGTCAATGATCCTAGTATATATAATTATGATGAAGAAAGGTGCATCTAGCAAAGAGGTTTTTTTATGCCCCCTGATTCAGAGGGGGGTGGATGGTTACATAGTCTGAAAATGAAATAATGCTTTGAAATCTGCTCTTTGGTATTAATCAACCATTTCATGATAAAATTTGCAAAATTTTGAAATATGTGGCCCCTCGGTCAGTGGTTCCTTTGGGGCGATTTGCAAAATTGATTATAAAGTGGAAGTGCATTTTCTCTTTGTTACTCTGATCTACCTCTGTATATGAAGTAAATAGAGTAAGCATGCTAAGTTAATGAATATGATAAGCAATTTCAAAATTGTGAATTGTGAATTTCATGGCCTTTGGTTTAAAACACGAACCAAATTTAATTGTTTGAAAGTTGTTGCACAATACTCAAGTGACCTATAAGGCCCGTGGGCCTCTTGTTTTTTTTATGTGATAGATCCATTTCATATGAAAAAGTTTTTTCAGGTACGAACGTTTTATCGCCGTTGTAATAGGGTTGCAGCCTGCAATTGTGCTGTGGCGATTCGGTCTGGAGATGACGTCATTTTATTTGACGTTTGTGGTCCTTCAATGGGAAAGTCTTCCAGACGTACACGATACACCATGAAGATGTATCTGAATGGAGATTTGACCCCAGGGACTGATGTCATTCGGAAGGGAGGAGGAAAAACATATGAGGTCCCAAATATTAAATTTTAACATCAACAACACTGTGTTTGTTTGGTTTAGGTTCAAAGTAATACCGGTATACGCTATAACGTGCACCATTTTAAAATCAGCTGGAAATTTATATATTTTGTTTACCAATAAAAGTTAAGAAAATGCTGTTAATTACACCATTTAAATAAAATTCGTTATAAAGTTCTCAAATTATAATTATTTATTATCCTGCAAGGAGAATAATGTCTATTTTTAAGTAAATCCACCACGTGACGCCGTCGCTACTTTTAGATTCATAAACAAACACGGCGTCAAGAAAACGAGGTAAGCCCTTTGAGATACAACTCACTTTTGACATGGATGGCGTGTTACTTTTAATATACCTTATCTTTAAATGTAATCAGTATCAACCATCTATACTCTGTTATGACGCATATTAACCTTTTAGTAATAACCGTTGTCAAAATGCAACGTGCCTCGTTGTCTATAATTTCCCGTGGACATACGTGTTTATATTTAGACCCACTGTTTACGCACTTCCTTTATCATATATTCATGAAAAGAGTGAATTCTTGATTGCAGATATTGCTTTATTGTTCTGTTAATACAACGAGTTTTATAGTTAAATTTTGTGGAAATATTTTTTTTCATTACACTTTATGTGTTTCAAATCATTTTGTTTCACATACAAATCGGCATCCATACGGCGTATATTACTTTAAAGGGGGAAAATGAACACTATATATGTTTAAAAAATCATTAATTCATAAAATTTTTGGTGTGTTTGAAACATTTAACCAACTGGTTAATCATTATTTAGTAGATTATATTTTTAAATTCGTTATGCTATACAGTTATGAACACAGTCTTAATTATGAGTATTTTACCCTATCTTTGGACTTTCAGTAGGCGTGACTTTCTCGGCGCTACCTAATGGAGAATACTAGTAGATTCTTATTGGTTATGAAATTAATAACATAGGAACTTAAAATTGTTTTTTGATAACAATCAGACGACTTATGCCCAACCTCTGTGCCGTGAGAGAACTTTTAATTGGGTATTTACTATACCCGTTGACATTTGGCTGCATTTCTATCATATGTATATTTCAACAGTGAAGGGAAGTTGTGTAAATTTCAGAAGCTAATTAGGTAACGTCGAGAATGCCACGCCTTACTGAAAGTCCACACTAAGCGTGTAATTCTTCTAATGTACAGGTAATTCTGCCAACTGGAGCGGTGGTCTACGTGATGACTGGGAATGGGTTTTTCAACGTTAAAATGTTAGCATCGGCTCTTGATTATAAAAACACTGAAGGTAAATTGCATTTCAAGCATATGTGGGATGTTATCATTTGGCATATGGTACTTTCAGAGAAAAATCTATATCATTTTTCCAAAAAAAGCTGATACAAAACTGAGCATATAAAAAGACATTGATAATATACACTCAAAACATTTCACTTACTAACGTTTCGGTGAGACACTTTTTTCTCTTTCTGTACTAAAGACAGATTAAAACAATGATACTGATGGGTTTTTTTTCCTCTCAATAGTTTAAATTAAAAAGATAATATATGGATGAATAATTAAAAGAAAAGTATAAACAAAGCTTAAAATAATATGCATTTTAAAAAGATTATTTACTTCTTTCCCTTTATTTCATTATTAATGATTAGTACCTTTCTACTTGTAGGGTTGTGTGGTAACTTCGATGGTGACCGAAACAACGACTTTAGGAAAAGAGACGGGGAACTGTATACAAGGGGAGGAAAACAACCAAATGAATTCTCTCTGTCGTGGAGGTTATAAGTCTTTTATATGATCAAGTCCCTACTTCAGACATGATCTGAAAATTATACTTTTGAAATCAATCAAAGTCCAGCTAGAGCATCTTTGCTATAACCAAGGGTTTCTGATATGCTATTCTTGGACGAGAATATGACAAGAGTAGTGTATCAGATTCCCTTGGCTAGCGAATATGTAGTGCATGACTAAAACATTATTTTTTTTTACAGAAGAGGTCAAACAATGACAAAATCATTAATGTTTTACATCTTTTCAGGGTACCACAAACAATGACTAAAACCTTAATGTTTTACACCTTTTCAGGGTACCAAAAAACAATGACTTAAGCCTTAATGTTTGACATCTTTTCAGGGTACCAAAAACAATAATTAAAACCTTAATGTTTTACATCTTTTCAGGGTACCATAAACAGTGATTAAAACCTTAATGTTTTACACCTTTTCAGGGTACCACAAACAATTTCTAAAACCTCAATGTTTTACATCTTTTAAGGGTACCACAAACAATAATTAAAACCTTAATGTTTTACACCTTTTCAGGGTACCAAAAACAATAATTAAAACCTTAATGTTTGACATCTTTTCAGGGTACCAAAAACATTAATTAAAACCTTAATGTTTGACATCTTTTCAGGGTACCACAAACAATAATTAAAACCTTAATGTTTTACATCTTTTCAGGGTACCACAAACAATAATTAAAACCTTAATGTTTTACACCTTTTCAGGGTACCAAAAGCAATAATTAAAACCTTAATGTTTGACATCTTTTCAGGGTACCACAAACAATAATTAAAACCTTAATGTTTGACATCTTTTCAGGGTACCACAAACAATAATTAAAACCTTAATGTTTTACATATATTCAGGGTACCACAAACAATAATTAAAACCTTAATGTTTGACATCTTTTCAGGGTACCAAAAACAATTTCTAAAACCTTAATGATATACATCTTTTCAGGGTACCAAAAACAATAATTAAAACCTTAATGTTTTACATCTTTTCAGGGTACCATAAACAGTGATTAAAACCTTAATGTTTTACACCTTTTCAGGGTACCACAAACAATTTCTAAAACCTCAATGTTTTACATCTTTTAAGGGTACCACAAACAATAATTAAAACCTTAATGTTTTACATCTTTTCAGGGTACCAAAAACAATAATTAAAACCTTAATGTTTAACATCTTTTCAGGGTACCAAAAACAATAATTAAAACCTTAATGTTTGACATCTTTTCAGGGTACCACAAACAGTTATTAAAACCTTAATGTTTGACATCTTTTCAGGGTACCAAAAACAATGACTAAAACCTTAATGTTTTACATCTTTTCAGGGTACCACAAACAATAACTAAAACCTTAATGTTTTACATCTGTTCAGGGTACCAGAAGAGGATTCCTTATACCGGGGATATTGTGAGTCTTCTGCCGACACGAGCCCCAAAGTGGAGAACTACTGTGACTGTTTGGCAGGAAAGACTGCCGCGTGTCAGGAGGGAATGGACAAAATGACATGTGTAGAAATTCAGAAAAGGAAAGGACTGCTTGGCAACAGAAGTCAGGAATTATTTACAACAAAATTAATTTTTTCTCAAAATCTAATTTAATAAATTAGATATCTCGAATTTATTAGAAGAATGGGACATCCTTTTACATACATTACCTACTATTACTATCAAATTCCTGAAACTGTAATTAAAAAAACTTTCTTAAACTGTCTTTATTTTTTTTTAATTTTTATTTACTGATTATTTGATTTTTGCATTATCGCAGGAACCAAACTGGTCACTCTTGATCTCATAAAAGATGCCGAGTCACCTCCTGCCCGGTGCCAGTCTATACGACCCCCAGAACCATTCGGTTACGTGCCAAACTATACTCAACCTGTATGTACCTTCAAGGAATTGTTGCATGCATCAAATGTTTTTTTATGGAATACAATAGTAGCCAAACACATAAAACATACATCGAACTGGTAGTTTATAACATATATTGTAATGGTATTTCATTGTCTGTCTGTAAACTTGTCACATTTTCAACTTCTCAAGATCCACTAGGTCAATTTTAAGTAAACTTGGTACAAAGCACCCTTGAGTAAAGGGAATTTGAATTGTTATAATGAAAGCCAAGTCCCCTTACAAGGAAAGAAAATCAAGAAAAGATTTTTTAAAAATGGGGAGGGTCGCGAAAAGAATCTTCTTCCAAAGAACCACAGGTCCAGAAAAGCTGAAATTTACATAGAAGCATTGTTGGGTAGTTTAGACTCTAAATTGAAATCACGAGCAAGGGGGAGTAGTGCGGGGCCCAATAGGGAAAAAATTTTAAAAATCTTCTCAAGAATCATTGTAAAAATTTTTACCCCCAGGGTTAGGGCGGGGCCACAATAGGGAACCCAGGCTTTATATTGAAAATATGGTCCAGAACCACTTGGACCAGAAAATGTTGAAGCATCCTGGGGTACTGTAGATTTTAAATTATTACAATTATGGCCACAGGGGTAGTGTTGTGCCACAATAGGAAAACGAAGCGTTAGGAAAAAATCTTCTGAAGAACCACTTGTCCATAAAAGCTAAAACTTATGTTGAAGCATCATTATATCATGTAGATTTTTAATTATTTAAATCGTGAACTCCTGGCGTAGGGCGGGGCCACAATAGGGAATCCAAGTTATACATTGAAATATGTAGGAAAAACTTTTTAAAATCTTCATCAAGAACCATTGGGCAAGAAAATCTTAAACTTATTTGGAAGCATCCTGGGGTAAAATATAATCTGAATTGCCCAAATCATGACCCATGGGGGTAGGTTTGGGGCACAACGGTATTACGAGGGGGGTTCTGGTAAAGAACAGCATGGTCAAAGTTACTAAGGTGAGCTATGTTGCCCCATGGGCCTCTAATATGACAATTATTAATACAATAATGGTGTATTACCACAACAGGACCCTGTTTGGCCAACACCGGGTAATATCACTGAAGACGAGGCGAGGAAATTTTGTCAAGGCTTTATTGAAGCCAAGGAATCCGGAAAGAAATGTGCATCTCTACCTGGGCTGGATCTGACTCCTATTGTACAAGGCTGCATAACCGATTTACAGGCAAGCTATTAAATACTACTGTATATAAATTTGTTCCCCAAGAGAATAATTGTGTGTATTTGTGTGATAAAATGTGTTTTTATGAATATTTGATAAAGCTAACTGATGATAAATCCTGGGCGAGCGAGAGTTTTGACAATTTACAACAAGAATGTACGACCATTGTGGAGGGGGACCCAGATCAATGGACTGTAAACAATGAAACCGGGGATTCCATACCGCCTCCAGAAATCGTTGGTGTCATCTGTCCTAACAGCTGCACGGAAAACGGAAATTGTACAGATGGTTAGTTCAAGAGCTTTTATTTTTATTTTGTTACTTTTTTCAAGTCTTTTTTTAATATATGAGTAAAAAGGTTTTGCAGAAAGTAATATTTTAACTTTGAGAAAGTTGCTTATTTCTGTTCGGTCTTTGATTTAAAAAAATGTGAAACGTTACCACTACTTTCTAGAGACAGTAAAGGGTATAGGTTTTACAATTTAACATTTCATTTTTTGGTGAATCCTTTTATTTAATTGTAAGTCATCGTCAAATCATCACATAAATGGTGATATCAGTATTGGTTGTCTACATTGTAGGACTCTGTCAGTGTTTTCATCCGTGGATTGGTGACGACTGTTCGATTAACTCTACTGCTCCGCCTGATCTCTTTGAAATAGGAAATGGAGAACCATGTGACTCGATATGTACCAACTGCACCACGGTCAATCTTTATGGAGATAATTTTGCTGATGTTGAGAATCTTACGTGTCATTACAGATCTCTTGGTGTAAAAACATCTTTTATTTTTAATCATTCTTTTTTTTTTTATTTTTCATAAAGTTATGATAAGACTTTTTGTATTTTTTTTGCCATCATTTCTCTGCAGACATTCCTTCTACTCGTATTATTTACCTTTGATTACATTCAATCCTTCATATTTTTGTTCAATAATTCTTTAATTGTTATAATCTTTTGAACAATGTATCTTTTTTAATAATAATTTTCTTTTCTATGGAATACTGGAATTTTAGCTAGTAGCCCGACAGCTCTTGATGAAGTGACTTTTGAATGCCTTTTTGTAGATTAACATGCAAGCAGTATCAGCTTCGACCAGTAAGGCTGAATTTTTGAATTCCCAGACTGTCAAGTGCGCGTTCCCTAATGATGGATTGTACGAAGTAGCGGTCAGTAACGATGGTCAGACCACCAGTTTATACACTATCTACATCATCTACAATAGCCACTGTCATCAGTGTACAAGTAGTGGGTGTACAGTCAGGGTAAGGATACGTGTCAATCTGAGATGTCGTAAAATGTCAGAAAGATCGGAAGGCTAGACGGATGTCAAGCATTATCAGATACTATGCTCAACAATGTTTTTGTTGAAAAAATAAATTGTAATTTTTACAAAGTTCATTTTCTTTCAGACTGATGTTTGCAGAATTGGGGGTGTTTGTTTTGTCCATGGTTTTGTTAATCCACAAAATGTCTTGGAGGTCTGTGATATCAGCGTATCAAATAATGGATGGTCTACATTGCAAGGTGCATAAAATATTGGGCTTTTAATTCTGAAAACAAGAAAATGATCTAAAATTTCATGTGTTTCAAATGAAATAAGATAAAGACTACACCTTTACAACAAGGTACTTGTGTTCATCACATACTAAAACTTTAAACGTACTACAAAGTTATTTTGATGTGACAGGTACATGAAAACTGAAACTGTGAAAAGTTAGTTACTAAGACATAATACATAACAATTACGAGATTTCACCCTTAAAGTGATTTTTCCCAAAAGTAAATAAAATACGATATCAATAATAATATTTGTAATTTTCTTTTAGTTGAAAAAATCTCTACGAAGAGATACAATTTCCAAAACATTATTGGACAGTATCTGGTAACATCGAGCGACAACGTCGTGATAGGGGGCACGGGTACTCCGACGCTTACCACAGGTGTGAGTGGGGGAACTGCAGTCATATTAGATGGACGTCAATATCTGGCTTTTGGGGACCTGACAAATGTCTGTTTTGGCGATATAGCAAAAAGTTCTCTTGGTATCACTATAACGTTTAATGTTAGGCTGATGACAAATACACATACCTGTTTCTTGTTAAGTAATGGGGGAGACGATGACCAGTACTATGGTTATGCCATTTGGTTTGGGAATAACAGACTATATGCCAGAGTCAGTAATAAATGGTCAGAATGGGTCACTTCCATGTCCTCTGTCAAACTGGAGGAGTTTATGACGGTGGAAATGTCCTGGAGCCTCCAGTTTGGACTACAGCTGAGTGTTGATCAGGAGGTCAAAGCATCCACAAGGAAATGCATTTCTCGTCTTACGTCTAATTACACGGTCTTTAAAGATTTCATTGTTGGTGGATCATCAAAGAAAGAACAAAACTGCCAAATGATGATAGAAACCATAACATTTGTGTGCGCAGGAAAGGATATTATAAATAGTACCGGATTGAAATTCAAAGGTAGATAATAAAAAATTAAGAAGTCACCATCTCACATTTCTTCCAATATTTTTAATTTTGCTGGTAAATTTACAAAATTTGAGTTTAAACATGGTCAACAATTTTTTTTCGTAAATTTTTTGTATTAGTTCTTCTCAAAACAGATAATTGTTCCTTCCTCAACCTATTCATTTACACCTTATTTGCTTAAACTATATCAATTTTTAAAACATATTGATGAATTAAATTATCTTTTCTAAAAGTAGTGTTTTGCCTTAATTGTTTCAAGATATTATTAAATGATGTTATTAAAATTATTTTTCACGGGTAAATTCAGATCCCGAAGTTCCAGGACAATGCGTTGTGTCATTAAGGCTGGAAGCCACTGCAGCCGTCATTTCGACATCAGTGATCGCTGGAACTTTGTTTTGTATAACCTGTATATTCTGTATACTTTGTGGGTGAGTTTGTGAATACTTTAAAGAAAATATGTTTAGTTTCGTTCTTTGATCTGCTCATGGTATTTATTTATGTCCCATCATCGAAGATTCTGGGCATATCGGGTTTTTTTTTGTCTGTTTGTCTGAAAAACTAACTTTGTTTTACAGTAATTAAGTTGTAACTGTCGAGAAATAATCATACCTTGTAAAGAGATATGAGGAAACAGTTGGAAATATAACTAAATGTCGAATACTTCAACAAAATTTACATTTTAACAGATGCAGAAGACGAAAGAAGAAGAAAAGATTTGCGCGTCTAATAAGTCAAAAATCAAGCACAGATTTTCAAGA